CTGCTGGGAGTCCCAGCAGCTTCTACTGAAGCCAGTCCCCAACTCCGGGGACTTCCGGCCGTGGACCGTGTGAAAGCGCCTAATGTGTTCTTTTTAACCAAATACCTCTCAGAGGGGCGTGGGGAGGGGCTCCTTATTTTTCATCTAAAGTAACAGACAGAGAATCAGCACTTTGGAAACAGGGCTGAAACAGAGGGGATTATGGGTAATGCTGCAATGATCTGTTTGGTGTTTCAGCCAATCAGAGACAGGCTCTGTATATATCTGAGACCTGTAATATATTGATGAAAAACAGTAGTATAGGGGACCTTTAAAGTAGCGATCTTGTTTCATCTTCCTGTGTCTGCTGATGATGATGGAGAAAACAATATATAAATGTATGTCTATAAAAGACGGACACTTTTTTAAGTCTTTTAGCACAGATCTGGTGAATGGTACTGCATTTTAACACAATTTAGAAATATTATCATACACATTTTATTGCAGTCTTCAATAACTGTCCAAAAATCTATTGAAAATGAGTCATTAAAAAGCAACCTTTGTGTGATTACTTTTCTTTGTAACCTGCTGTGTCATACACCACTAGCTCTACAGCAATGAGCTGCTATATAATAACATCTCATTTGACATTGATTTGGCATTATAGTTGTATATTTAAAAAAATGTATATTTGTGAAAGGTTGTCTCGTATAATTTATACACACATTTGCCGGATCATGATGTGTATATATTAGAAGATTTGTATCCATATCATAATATGGATACAGCTACATTGCCTAGCGTTAATGAATCCTAGAACTTTAATATCTTCTGTCAATCACAAATACAGATGTGTTGTGTTTTGTGTTTCGTGACTTCATTTGATATTGTCGTCGGTCTTGTTTGTGCTGTATGTCTCTTGTGATGTCGTCATGTGTTTACTGTCTTTGTGTTTTTGTTTGAGTGCCAGGATGAGAAGGACCAGCAGTGGAAACAAGCCATGGACTACCTGAGTGCCGTGACTGAACTCAACTACATGACGCAGATCGTCATCATGCTGTATGAAGACAACAACAAGGTCCAGCAAAAAGTCTCCCTATGATTTCATTTCCCTCAGCATTCACACTACACTTCTGTATAGATGTCATCAAGTCTTTCTGTCTGTGTTGTGAGCAGGACCCTTCCTCAGAGGAGCGTTTCCACGTTGAGATTCACTTCAGTCCAGGAGTCAAAGGGTGTGAGGATGAGGAGAACGTTCCTCTTGGCTTCGGTTTCCGCCCAGCCTCCTCTGAGGTGTGTGTGTTTTGTCTTTTTCAGGGTTGCACATATTTAGTGGCCCTTAAATAGCAATCTAATAAATCATTGAATACGTCCTAAAAGAGTAAATCACATGTAGTAGAATATCAGGATCCTTTCTAGTTTGGACAAGTGCAGCGTTTCCAACTTTTTCATATCAGAAGATGCAGAACACCTCATCTAGCCTTTCCACCACTTTAACAACACAAGTTAATGTATGTGTGGTCGTTTAAAATGTAAATACAATTTCTCCAGGGCTCCCAAGCTGGTTCAGTGTAAATTGCCACCAGTGGAGAGTTCCTTCTCGTTGCTTACATGTGCACGAAATGTTGTGCCCCATTATTACATTTATAGATGTTATGCCTTTTTAATGAAAAAGTTAGTTTTCATTTTCAAAAGTGAGTTCTTTCCGGCACATTGATGACAAACCTTTAAACAACTTATTTTTGGAAATACATTCCAACATATAAAGACGTTGCACGCTAAAAACATTACATCTGTCTGCAGGGAAAGATTATATATCCTACTTGTGTTTGTCGAAACATGCATTCGTCATGCGTACTGAAATATTTATGTTCTGCCACACGTTGCAGTGACCTCTGTGTGTAGAAACATTCTCATGTACTACAGCTCAAGTGGTATTTGCATGTGTTTTAATTTAATAGATAAGAACAGTGTTTAGACATCATGTCCTTTGATCAACAGAACCAAGACAAGAAGCCCAATCAGGGCAGTCTGGAGGATCTGTCCCAGGATCAGCTGGACCAGGCTCTTCCTCTCTCTGATCCAATCAACATCCAGAGAAAGTCTCCTATGATCCGCAACCGCAAGACAGGCTCCATGGAGGTACCAGACCCCGAAGTGTTCCAGATGTCCTGCTGATGATGATACAACCACACTGAGTGTTTCGTTTGTATTATCCCACTTAGTAGTTCTAGTTTGGGTTTAGTTGAGCAGTTTTGGGCGCGAGATAAGTTTGTGCACAGATGGAAGGCTGACAGGCAGCTAGGCCATCCAGTTATTTTAGCCGGCCGAGGCTGCCAAGGCACACAGGGGATAGGTCGTCGCTTTTTACAGAACCACGGCTTCCACATGTCAAAGCATTTCATGTATTCATTGCTATCGGGATGTTAAGAGCAATTCCATGGAATATAACAAAAAGTGTTTCTGAAGTGAATTACCTACCCCACCTTTAAGAGCTTGATTATTTGGAAGGTTTAATCCAGTACTGAGAAACCTATAGATTTTGTGAGTGCAACTGGACACAATGTCCTGATTTTATATCTAAAATCAGGGAAGCATTCTGTTTAATTAACCCTGCAGAAACACATTTCATCCAGCAGCTCAGGATGGGCTTTGTGTCCGCAGGTTCTGAAATACCTGTACAAAGTCAACAAACTAATAAAATACCATCTGTTTTCACTCTAAAACAATCTCCTCAGGTTTCAAAAATGTAACTTGATTAACTGAACAGGTGGTGCATTCCTACGTCCATGAAATCAAGCTCTAAAGAAAATCAGAGCTTCTGTTTGGATTTAAAAGTAAATATATGTTTCCATGACAACTTCCTAACCTTTCTGTCATAACAATCTCTTAAATTCAGAAAAATAGGGATTATATTTTATTTCTGAGCTGAATGCATTGCGCCTCAGAAGAAGTGTTAAAGGTTTTAAAGTAAGTAGCGTTGTGTCCCTGATTGACTGTATCTGCCCTCTCAGTTTTAACCCCTGCTCTCCCTCAGGTCCTCTCTGAAACGTCTCCCAGCCAATCGTCCAAAGGCAGCACGTCTCACCGACTCTTCCCTTCGTCCTGTTCGCGCCAGTCTCCTGAGATCAAAGCAGCCAGTGGCTTAGGTGGGAAACCCTGTTCTGGTGTGTGTGTGTGCTTTGTGTACGTGTGTGTGTGTGGGGAGAAAGACACACTGACCTTACAGCACATTGTATCTCCAGCTGTCATCACTGATCCTCTCCTCATCACTTCTCCCACCTTTCCAAATCTCTGTGTCTTCCAGTCTGTTGATCTTTCGGTCTGTTGTCCTTTTCCCTCCATAACACTCCTCCCTGTCACTATCACTTATTTTTGTTTCCCGTCGGCCACATAGCTTTCACCCCAGGCTTAGCATAGCTGCAGACGAACAGGATCAGACTCCCAACTATGTAGGCGAGAGGTCAGCGGAGGGAGCTGCGTTCACAGCCAACCGCTGGCCTCTGCTGTCGCGTAGCGTTCAAAGACCGATATCAAGGCAGGATATTAGGTGACAACATAGGGAACATACTCAAGGTGTTTCTATCTCCTGTTTCGAAAGGTTCGTCAAGTAAATCGTAAAAGTTCTTCGGATCAAATAATAAGACTCTGTTCACGGATTTTTGCCATTGTTTATTATTAGAAATCACAATCCTTTATATTGGAAGTAGCATATTTAGTGGTTATTGCTATTTAAAGCTATCCTCTATAATGCACCAAATATGCTGTTTAGACTTACTCTACAATACGCAATAAACCCTTTAAAGTCAGAAGTGTTTGAAATATAGTAAAATGCTTTCAAATGTTCCAAATCGGCTGCAATAGAGGTCTTCTTAAGGGTACCTGAAACTGATTTAACCTCCTTACTAATGTAATCCCCGTTAAGGACTCTTGTTTTGCTGTGTGATCACTTTCTAAGAGCATGAAACCTTCAACAGCCTGCTAACACGAAGGTGACTCTAACACAAGCATGAGAGCCCGTCGTCTAAATCAAGACGATTGGAGAAAACTCTGAGAACAGGGAGTCACTTTGTGGAAACTAAATCTGTGACAGGGAGAATTAAAGCTGTGTTTCTCAATCAGCAAATGAGTGCAGATTATCTCTTTTTATTTGTGCAATTAAGACCTAAAACACTCAATTACAATGCATGGATATTTGGCAGAGGAAGCCCTTTCCAATCTAAAGTAAATACACTCTGATGCAATCACGTTCAATCACAAGCATCAAGCAGACACGTTGCTTATCCCGTCACTCAATTATCACACGTCTGAATGCAGCCGTCACATCAAAGGAACTCCGACTGAAGCTTATCTTGAGAGGAGACTGTCAGTGTGTAATGTGTAGTGAGTGTGAGGCTGCTGAGTGACACACACACACACACACACACACACACACACACACACACACACACACACGCACACACACACACACACACACACACACACACACCCACACACAGAGAGACACACACACACACAGAGAGAGAGACACACACACACACACACACACAGAGAGAGACACACACACACGCACACGCACACACAGAGACACACACACACTATTTGGGTCTTTACTTTAACTTTAATAACTTTCTAGTCTCACACACACAGAGACACAGACAGGGACACACACACACAGAGACACACACAAACACACACACAGGGACACACACACACACACACACACACACACACACACAGAGACACACACAGAGGTGTTTACAACCGTCAGGGTTTGACTGACATCTGGAGATGT